ATCAAACGACGACTGGCTGGCCCCGACGCCTCGGCCCAGCCTCCCCGCTTGGCCGCGCGCGAACTTCGCGGCGCCCCTGCGCGCGTAGGTCACGGGCTCGGCCTGCGCGGGGTCGAAGAACGCCTCCATGGCGCGCGGGCGCTGGTCCGCGAGGTCGCCGTCATCGAGGACGCAGGGCGCCCAAGGTTCCCCGACCGCACCGCGAAAAAAAAAAACATCTCTGCAGACGTGCGCGCGGCGGCCTGGGCGCGGCCAGGGCGGCGCTCTTTCGCGACGTCCGCGTCGTGCCTGGCCGCCGCCATGGCAAGAATGTGCGTGAAGGGCGTCTTCCCGAAGCTGGCCCCTCCTAGTTCTCGCAAGCAGCGTGGATGCCCGCCAGCGTCTTCAACATCTTGTTCGTCCTCGGCTGGCACCCATCGCGGCTGTCTGGCTTGAGGAGCGGATCGTGTTCTCCCCTGGCTGCGCGGTGGTCGCGGCCCGCGATGCACTTCGACAGGCCGTTCACGAACTCCCAAAAGGGGAGCGAGCATTAGCAGAAGCAGGACGAGGGAAAGGAGGCGGAGTAGGAGGAAGAGAAGGCACTGCCTGGACGGGGTGCTGGGGGGCTGAGCATGTATCGCTCTCTCTATAACTAGTCATTTTGTTGTTCCTCTCTCTCATGATCCACTCGGTTCTCTTTCTCGCCCATCTCATTATACTTATCTCTCTCTCTTTGCCTATATGCCTCTCTCTCTTTCTCTCTATGTATCTCCCTCTCTATCCCCCTCTCTCTTTCTAGTGATTTATCGTTTTGTGTTTCGCGTTCATATATTATATGATGTATATGTTTGTACATGTGTGTATACATACACATATATAAGTGTGTATACATACACATATGTATACACTTATGTCTGTATGTGTAGATATGCACTTGTATGTATATATATATATACACAAGACTACAGTGGCGCTTCGCGCCATACATCTTGGTCCTTGAAGTTTGGTATCGTGGACCGTGTTGGGGCTCTCTGGGGTTGTTTCGGGAGCGCGCCGGAACGCTTGGAACCTGTCTGGGGCCGTCTTCGGGCTCTCGCGAGGTTCTCCTGGGTCGTCTGAAGGGTTGCCTGGAGGCCGGGAGGGCCAAATTCGTGGGGGAGGGGGCTTCTTCCGGCGTCCCCAGCCCTAAAAAAACATATGAATAGGAATATGTATACATAGAGAGACAGAGAGGGAGAGAAACAAAAACAACATAAAAAAAGCACAAAAAAAACGTTGATCCTAAATTTCCATGAATTTGGACCCTACGGACCCCCCCCGAAACTGGACCCCTGGCGCCCAAGGCTTCTGGGCGCCCCCTTTCAGAAAGTCCTGCGAGATTTCCGTACCTCTGGAAGTCCCTGCCAAGCCGTGCAAGCGGTCGGCGGTGGTCCCAAGAGACTCCGAAGACGGCTCAATATGGCCTCTGGCGGCGCAAGACCCCGCCAGAGGCCCGAAGACGGCCCACAGATCACCCCCAAGAAGCTTCCGAAACGTAGATGATGTTTGTATGATTTTGGATTACTCAGTTATTCGGTCTTCCTGGCGTCCATCAGCGCTCGAGAAATACCGAAAACCGTTCCAAGACGACCAAAAGGCTTCCTGACAGTCCAAGAGAGCGCCAAGACGGCCCAAGAGGGCCCAGAAACTGCCCACACAAGGCCCCATGACGGGCACAATTGCCCCAAGACGCCTTCCGGAAGCATTCAAGCCGTGAAACGATACTACGGTTCGCGGCATGGTGGCCCGAGGAACCCCCCAGAGGCCGCCAGAAGGCGCCAGGGACGTCTCCTGAGGCGCCCAAGGAGCCCCTAAACAGTTTTCGCGAGGTTCTCCAGAAACTCGCCTGGGAAGAGCTTCCGCAAATACATGTGAGGAGGACGGAGAAGGGTTCGCAGGGAAATAAAAGCGAGAACGGAGAAAAGGAAGAGGACACATGAGGGAAGGAGAAGGAACAACAATATGATAATGGTGATGGCGAAAGCTGCAACCAAAAATGACCGATGTTTTGATTGACCCACCTATCTCTCAGTCTGCCTGCGTGCTAGATATGGAGGACCAAGGCACATGGCGCGAAGTGACAATGCAGTCTGGTATACATGTACAGACGTACATAACCACAACCTGCCTTTCAGTACGCCTATCAGTTTGTTTTCTCTCTCTCTCTCTCTCTCTGTCTCTACTCCGCATCTCTCTTCCTCCCTCTGTTCTCTCCTGTCTTCTCTCTCTCTTGTTATATGTTTCGCCCATATCTCTCTGTCTCTCTCTCTCTCTTTCCCTCTACTGTCTCCCCCTCTCTCTACCCTCTTCAACTCGTTCTGCTCTCTCTTCATTGATACAGACTATATGTTTACTCTCTCTCTCTCTGTCTCTCTCTCTCTCTCGCTCTCTCTCTCTCTCCTTCTCTGCCCGACGATGCTCTCTACCATCTGCTATGCAGTCTTCATCCTCTGCTATCTACTAACTCAGCCAGACCGTGGTCGCAAATGCCTGGGTACTTGGCCGCAGCCAACAACTCCCGAATCCGGAAATGGGAGCCAAGAGCCCAGCCGCCCACCGAGATCGGCCTGAAACCTGGAACCGAGAACCCGAAACTGAGAACCCAAGAAGCCGGCCGCCTCCCGAACTCGGCCCGCGACCTTCACCCAGTCTTTCAGTACCCGCCAGGGTTCCTCCTCCTCCTCCTCCTCGTCCTCCTCCTCCTCCTCCTCCTCCTTCGGCGCAAGCGCTCCTCGTCCTCCTCCTCCTCCTCCTCCTCGTCCTCCTCGTCCTCCTCCTCCTCCTCCTCCTCCTCCTCCCCCGCCTCCTCCTCCTTCGGCGCAAGCGCTGAGAAGGGACAAATCTTGAGACAACTCTGCACGGGCGAAGAGCAGCGGCTCCGCAAAAGGGGGGGCTCTCGCTTGTGCAGCATTCCTCGGAGCAAAATGCCAGCAGCGTCGGGATGTGCAGCTGCTCCACGGAAGGGGGGGGGCCCATTTTCACGGCGGGGTCCCCGCAGGACGCCTCGCTGAACTCTAGGATCCTGCCTTTCCGCATTCGCTAACTCGCCAGGAGGATGCACTGCCATTCCTTCTCAGGCCATGGCTCTCGCGTGAATAGCAGAGCAGGTCCACAGGGTGCTCGTGCCTCAAGGGGTAATGGAAAAGGAAATTATGTAGGAACTGATGAGGCGTGTGTATTGCAGCAGCGTTGACAGCATTGCAGGCGCATCCTGGGTTGTGACAGCGGCAAGGGGAGGGTAACACCATCGGGGTGACCCCCCTCCCGCGAGTTGGTGAGGGATTGGGATTCTGGCATCCAGCAGAGCTTTTACGACCCCCTCGATCTCGCCCTCTTATCCTTCTACCTGTTCTGCTTGCTTGCTGCCAACTTGGTGGGTGGGTGGAAAGGGACGGGATTCAGTGACCTCATAGACTTCAACTTTCAAATGGTTGCTTTGCTCTCCAACGTAGGACCGGTGACAACGCCGGTGACAATCGATGAACGGCCGGTGCAACTCGAATGATGATCAAATCCGCTTGGCTTCATGGGGGCTACAACCGCTTCCATCGACGAGCCGCTGCCGACCCCAGGCAAGCCTTGCCAGGTAGATATCACCAAAATCTGGGGGAGGAGGAGAAGGAGGAGGAGGAGGAGGACGAGGCTGTGGAGGAGGAGGAAGAAAGGAACTTAAACGGCGAGCGCCGTCAGCGTGCAGTGTCAGGGGGTGCGGGCTGCTCACCCACCGTCCCACCATACGGGAAGGCGCGAAAATCCTGTGAACTGTACGGGGTCGGCAAGACAGAGGACCATGCGCCCTTTCACCATTCAAGGAGTGCATCATAGCCTCCACCGCCTAAGGAGTGCATCACAGCATCCATCAATCCATTGATTCCATGCGTTTTTCACGAGCCATAGAACTCACATGCGGCATTGACTTTCGTCGTTTACCCCATGCGTAGCAAGCTCTCTCGTCCTCCTCCTCCTCCTCCTCCTCCTCCTCCTCCTCCTCCTCCTCCTCTTCCTCCCCTTCCTTCTCTTCTTCCCTCCTCCTCCTCCTCCTCTCCTCCTCCTCCTCCTCCTCCTCCTCTCCTCCTCCCTCCTCCCTCCTCCTCCTCCTCCTCCTCCTCCTCCTCCTCCTCCTCCTCCTCCTCCTCGCTCCTCTCTCCTCCTCCTCCGCCTCCCTCCTCCGCTCCTCTCCTCCTCCTCCTCCTCCTCCTCCTCCCTCCTTCCTCTCTTCCTCTCCTCCTCCTCCTCCTCCTCCTCCTCCTCCTCCTCCTCCTCCTCCTCCTCCTCCTCTCCTCCTCCTCCTCCTCCTCCGATCCTCCTCCTCCTCCTCCTCCTCCTCCGAGTCGGCAGGACTGTGCAGCGGGGTGCAGGCCTTCCAGCCGAGCGCCCCCTCTGGGGGGCACACGCCCGCCTGGCGGAGGCAGCCGCAGGGTCGCCTCTCGCGCCGCACCGCCGGACCCTTCGCAGAGTCGAGCGGCGGCTCTGGGCGGGAGGCGACTGTGCGAGGCTCCCGCGGTGCACGCCTACCTCGCTGTTGGTCCTCCTCCTCCTCCTCCTCCTCCGCCTCCTCCGCCTCCTCCTTCTCCTCCTCTTTCTCCTTCTCCTTCTCCTCCTCCTTCTCCTCCTCTTTCTCCTTCTCTTTCTCCTTCTCCTGCTCCCCCTCTTCCTCCTCCTCCTCCTCCTCCTCCTCCTCCTCCTCCTCCTCCTCCTCCTGCTCCTTCTGCTGCTCTTCCTCCTCGCTCCTTCTGCTGCTCTTCCTTCGGGTACACGCCAGCACGCATCGAAGGAGAAGCCCCCCCGAAACGTGCAGCCGGTGCTGGCAGATTGGGCGAAGGGGAGCGTCGATGTCGCACCGAAGTGGGGCCCGCCACCAATCCACGCGCCTTGCTCCATGTCTGCGCGTCCTCGGCTCGCCTCTGTTAGCGGGCCACATGCGAACCCTACCCCTACCCCCCACGACTTCTGAGGGGGAGGGGGGAGGGTCACTTCGTTCGGGAGCTCTCGAGCGAAGTGAACCCCACCCTCCCCCTCAGAAATCGTGGGGGGCAGGGGTGGGGTTCGCATGTGGTCTCCTATCCATGTCTGCGCTTCCTCGGCTCGCCTCTGTCCTCTCCTCGGCTGCACGCAGGAGCGATCCTGGGCAAGGGTGGCCTCTGGTGGGCAGCCCCTGAGGGGGCCGCGGAGCGGCCAGGTCTGAGCGCGCGCAGGATAACTGTGGGCGCGCCGCCGTGGGCCTGCACCAGCGGGGCCCGGCAGCTTCGCGTCGCGATGAGAGGTCGCCGTTGGCCTCCGACACCCCGTTGATCGCTCCACCTGGCACGGCCACGGCCCTCAGACGGGGCAGATCCGCTCGCCATCGGGCCGACACTGGGCCACGGGCGGCGCTCGGCCTCGAACCGCCCGCGTTGGGGCCACCGCCGCGGCCACGCGGCGCGAACCTGCCCCACAGCTCCAGCTGGGGGCCGCGCGCGGACGCGCAGCCGGCCTCCCTCCTCGCCTGCCCCCCGGGCCCCCCGAGAGGAGGAGGAGGAGGAGGAGGAGGAGGAGGAGGAGGAGGAGGAGGAGGAGGAGGAGGAGGAGGAGGAGGGAGGAGGAGGAGGCGGAGGAGGAGGAGGAGGAGGAGGGAGGAGGAGGAGGAGGAGAGGAGGAGGAGAGGAGGAGGAGGGGAGGAGGAGGAGGAGGAGGGGAGCAGGAGGGCCCCCCCCTGCCCCCCCCCCCACACCCCGGGGGCGGGCGAGGGCCCTGGATTCCCGCGCCCCGCGCCGCCGCCCCGCCCTGCGCGCCTCTGGGGAGCAGGGGGCGCCCCCGTCTCCTCGGAGACGGAGGTGCAGTCCGCCAGCGCGCCTGGGCGCCGCGCGGGCGGGCGGGGGGCCGCACGAGAGGCCCGGCCGCGGCGGCGGGGAGGCCTCGTGGAGGCCAGCGGGGCACCGACCTCGACTCTCCAGCCTCGCGGTGGAGGCGGCGGCGCAGGCGGCGCCCCGCGCCCTGCGGGGCAGAGCTCTCGGATGCCTCGGGCCCCCCCCCTGTGCGAGGCAGGTCGCGGTGCCGGCGGGAGGCGGGCAGCGTGTGTCGAAGCAGGCACGGCGAGTCCCGCGACGTCCTGGATGGCCGTGCTATCCTTCCTCCTTGCTCCTCTGCTGCCCTTCCTCGCCTCTTTCGTTCCCTTTTGCCTCCCGCCTCATGTCCGCCACCGCAATTGCCACGACTGTAAAGTCCCGCGCTGGGATCCCGCCAGGGAGCGCTTCAAAGTCGGCGCGCTCGGGCTGGATGGTACCCCAGACGACAATCATATACTCTCACTGTCCGCTCTTGCAGGGCGGAGTGTGCAGAGGTATCCAACCAGTCAACGCCGCCTGCATCCACCCACCCGTGGTCGAGGGAGAACGATAGGGGGGGGGCTAGCTCAGGGGATGAAGCGTCGATCTGGAATCGGGGATACATTGCCTACTGCGCCGCTCCGAAACTCGGCGGTGGACAAACCTCCCCTTAGTAAACCTCCCCTCAGTGAAAACGGCCTGGGACCGAAACCGGCGGACCTGGACCCGCAAAAAGGACGGCCGCGACGCACTCCCGCGGACCGAAAACGGCCAATTCCTGAATGGACGTGTCAGGGTAGGAGGTCTGTCCACCCCCGAGAAACAGGCCTCGGAAAAAATTAGCGAACACTCATGCCACATTCATCTGTGAACGCCTCCCCCTCCCCCCAATGCTCAGAGTTGGCGGTGGGTCTGATGAGTTGCACCTCGACCGCAGTCTCCCCCCCGCGTGCCAACTTTGAGTTTGGGGGGCAGGGGGGGTGTTCATCACTAATTGTTTCCCTCTACCGAAGTTCCTCCAATCTTCCCACGGTGCACCTCGTCGCTGTCCACCCAGACCCCCGACGTCATGATTTTTTCATGACGTCGACCCCCCGAGGTCTCGACCCATTCCCCGGGACCGGTTTTTCGTCCTGAGTCGTTTTTTGACGCTCCCGAGGCCCGGTGAGGGCCCCCGGAGGCCGAACATTAGGAAAAACCTCCCGTCATGATTTTTTCATTACTCGAGGGGGTCTGGGCAGGCTGGCGAGGGGCCGACGGCTGCCAAGCGGGGGCCGCCCGGGGAGCGCGGGCGAAGGGGCGGCAGAGGCGGGGGCGGGATCGGCGCCCCGCCCCGCCAGGCCGCAGGGCCCCCGTGCAATGTGAACCCAGCGTCCTCCTCCCCCTCCTCCTCCTCCTCCTCCTCCTCCTCCCCTCCTCCCCCTCCTCCTCCTCCTCCTCCTCCTCCTCCTCCTCCTCCTCCTCCTCCTCCTCCTCCTCCTCCTCCTCCTCCCAGTCTTAGCTTGTAGAATCCTGAGCGGTGTATGGGCCCGAAAGTGAGCAAGCCGCAGTGGGCTGCCTCTGAGAAGCCTGCCGGGCCTGCTCCGAAGACGACCCGGAAGTTTTACTGGCCAGCCCAAGAGTGGCCAATTTGAAGGCGACTTGTGCAAACAAATGTCTTCGGGTCCTGTCCGACGGACCCGAAAATGGGCCTCGTGCTGGAAACTTTGCAACACACGTTTTTTCGGCGGATCTCTTTTGATGCCCCCAGTGGTCCGGAACGCGCGCCAGATTTGTCAGCGTTCGCGCCCGAGCGCGGTGTCTGCCCAGGTCCGCGAGGCTCGTGCACGACTTCCTTATCATAGCGACGTTGCAATCATGCGGCTGCGTTGCATCCGCGCGGAGCCAGAGCCTGACTACCTACCAGACCACCCCAACCCAACCCGAAGACCCGAATTTCGGGTTGGGGGGGGTAAGGGTTCCACATGTGTTTTTTCGATGTTTCCCGCCCCCCCCCACTGGAAATCGAGGGAAAATATGAGCCTTCGGGTTGGGTTGGGGTGGTTTGGTGGGTGGTGAGAGCCGTGCTTCGCAAAACGGAATGAACTGCCGGAGCGCCCATGCGTGCATCGGCGAGAGGCCAGCGACAGCAAAGCAGTGCGTTTCCAGGCAGGGCGGGCTATCGGGCCCCCCTCGGCGATCCGTCGGCGATTGGGGGTCCAGGCATCCCCCCCTGAGCCCGTTCTCCCCAAGCGATGCCCCTGAGTGGCTCCAGATCCTCGTTGCCGAATTTTGGAGCCAAGGTGTAAGGCAGCGGGCCTCTCAGAGCGAGCTAGCCCGATCGGCTGAGGGGTAGCCAGTCCGGAGACGAGACACATAATAGCTGACTGCTGGTTCTCCCTTTGTCATCCTCCTCCTCCTTTCCCTCCTCGCTTTCGTCCTCCTCCCTCCTCCTCCTCCTCCTCCTCCTCCTCCTCCTCCTCCTCCTCCTCCTCCTCCTCCTCCTCCTCCTCCTCCTCCTCCCCCTCTCACCTCTTCCTCCTCCTCCTCCTCCTCCTTCTCCTTCTCCTCCTCCTACTACTGCTCCTTGTCCTCCTCCTCCTCCTCCTCCTCCTCTTCCTTTACCCCCTCCTCCCTCCTCCTCCTCCTCCTCCTGCTCCTCCTCCTCATCCTGCTCCTCCTTCTCCTCCTCCTTCTCCTCCTCCTCCTCCTCCTCCCTCCTCCTGCTCCTCCTGCTCCTTCTGCTCCTCATTCTCCTCTCCCTCCTGGTCCTCCTCCCTCTCCTCATCCTTCTCATCCATTCCTTCTCCTTATAAATAATTCCTCCCAGTCAGGCCAGTCGGAATGGCGAGCCGGGCGTTTCGCCGAAGACTTCCTCGCCATGTATGACCATGAAGCTGATAATTTGCTACTGTTTCATGGATGGAGGGCGGTTCACCGTTTTCACAATGCGGCTCTCGCCTGAGCGCCGCGCACATCGGTTTTTAACACATGCAAGAGCTTCACAGATGGAGGTGGATCTCGCCTGAGCACCGCGCACATCCGTTGAGGACACGTGGTTTTCAAAATGTGGCTCTCGCCTGAGCGCCGCGCACACTCGTCTTCAAACATTGCAAGAGCTTCACGGATGGAGGGCTGCTCCTTTTCAGAATGTGGCTCTCGCCTGAGTACCGCGCACATTGGCCTGTAAACTATGCAACAGCTTCACGGATGGAGGGCTGGTCCTTTTCAAGACAAGGCTCTCGCCTCAGCGCCGCGCACATTCGTCGGAAGAGTTCATGACTATTGCAAGGACTCTCATGCTCAACGTCCCAGAAACCATGTCTTGGCACGACGTCGGACGGTGAGGGCGCAACAGTTACTCCAGATTTCGTAATAAAGGGAGGGGGGTCTCATTTCGGGGGGGGGGTCTCTTCCAGGGTATCTTGGAGGGCCTGGGTCTGGGGACGATGTTTTGGAGGGTTCTCCCACGGGGGGGGGTCTGAAATGGCTTGTCTTGGAGGGTCCAGACCCCCTCCCTTTTATTACGAAATCTGGAGTACGTTGATTCGTGGTGTGGAAGAGTCCGAGGAATGATGCTTTGGCACGGTGCTGCATCGCCAAGACGCAACAGCAGCGGTGGCTCGCGGCGTTGGAGCCCCGGGCATGGTGTGCCCGCAAGATCAGGACCCGACGGGGCACCTCCTTCAGTGAAGATGAACCGTTGCAGGAACCTGTGAAGAGGGCGCCTGGAGGGAGGGTCCGTGGCATCATTGTGGACCAGCCTTGGGTCTACGCTGGTCCTCCTCATCCTCCGTCTCCTCCTCCGTCTCCTCCTCCGTGACCTCCGTCTTCTCCTCCCTCCTCCTGCTCCTCCTCCTCCTCTTCCTCCTCCTCCTCCTTCGCCACCTCCTCCTCCACCTCCTCCTCCTCCTCCCTCCTCATCCTCCCTCTTCCTCCGTCTCCTCCTCCGTCTCCTCCTCCGTCTCCTCCTCCATCCCCCCACGGGAAACATCATCTTGAGGCAGGCCACGCAGGCGCGTCACCTCTGCACGTGCGCTCGGAGGGCGAACGGGGGCAGAGCGCGCCAATCATAGAGGTGAGGAGGAGGAGGAGGAGGACGAGGAGGAGGAGGAGGAGGAGGAGCAGGAGGAAGAGGGAGGACAAGGAGGGGGCGATAACGACAACAGTGAAGAGGACGAGGAGGAATGGACGAAGCAGGGGAAGAGGAAGCAGGGAAAGAGGAGGGAGGCAACAGGAAGGATGAAGCGACGGGTTTTTCAGACATGCATGGCCTCGGCCACGCCACGCGCAACTGGCTCCCCAGAAACATAAGGTCCCCTGCCTCCCTGCCAACCTGCAGCGAGCCTTGTTGTCGTATGAACTCCAAGACCTCCCACCCCACTCTTCAGCGCGGCGCACAACTGACCTCATCCCTGTTTCCACTCTTCGATGCTTTATTCGGCGTCATTCGCTCTCTCTCTCTCTCTCTCGCTTTCTCTCCCTCCTGACTTCTTTTGTTGTACCTCCCTCTCCCTCATTATCTCACTATATCTCTCTATCGATGCACAAGCTTTTCATGATGAAGCTGGATTGCCCCTGCCTGCATATCTGATCCATTGTGTGTGTGCGTCTCTCTCTCTCTCTCTCCCTCTCTACATATTCCTCTTCCTATATTTTTATAAGCCCGGGCGGGGGGAAAACCCATCACCCCCCCCTCCAAAACCGGACTCCCGGGACCTGGGGCTTTGGGGCCCTCCGGACGGGCCTCGAAGCGGCCACCGGGCCTCGCAAGGCGTTTTGCCAAGCCTTCCCAGCACACTTAGGGCGATCAGGGGGGTCATCGGAAACGTCCCAGAGACCCCCAAGACAGCACAAGAGCGCTCCAAGAGGGACCGACGTGACCTCAAGATGGCCCAAGAGACCTCCAGGACGGCCCCAAAGAGGCCTCCAAGAGCACTCCCAAGAAGGCCCCCCGAGGCAAAAATCAATGATTTTCTGAAGGTTTTTGGTGAATTTTGGGGTTCTCCTCTTTTCGGCTTCCCGACGCTCCAAGACGGCGGTCTTCTGGGCGTCCGAAGCCGCCTGTGAGGCTCCCAAATCGCCCTACAACCATCCGAAAGGGCTTCCAGGCAGTCCAAGAGAGCCCCAAAACGGCACAACACGGGTCCAAGATGGCCCTCAGAGAGCCCCATGGCGGCCCAAGATGGCCCAAAGACACCCTCCGAAGAATTTCAAATCGTGATTCGGTCGTTCAGGGAGACGGCGGTTGGAGGCAGGGTGGCCCGAGGAAGCCCCCAGAGGCCCCCAGAATACGCCCAGGAGGCCTCCAGAAGGCCTTAAGAAAGCCCGAAACAACTTTTGTGAGGCCCCTAGAGGCTCTCCAAGGAGGAGCTTCCGCAAAAAAGAGCTGAGGAGGATGTGGAGAATGCGCAGGGTATGGCGAAAATAAGGAACAATAAGCATGGAAGAAAGAAAACGAAAAACATCATTATAGCGGCGATGCCGGAAAAGGCAACCAGGAGTTATCGCAAAATTGTCGGCTTGACCTTCCTGCCATTCCGCCTGCAAACCAAACTTCGAGGACCAAGGTGCATGGCGCGAAGCGCCACTGCAGTCTTATTGTGTATATATATATATATATTTCTCTGCTCCACCCCTGCCGGTGCCACTGCGATATAGCCCCTTTGCAAAATTCGAGGGCCCTTCTGGGAAGCAGCTGCGCGACATCCGCACGCACACACAAGCTCACGCGACCTCGCCCGCCGCAGGATTTGGACTTCTGGGGCAGGACGTGGACTCGGATTGCCGCGGGAGTCAATACAGTCGAGGCGTTGACCTAAGGAACCCTAAATAAGGAACGAGGCCCCTATTTTCCATAAGTTGAACTTCGATTTCGTATCGAAAACCTAAGGACAATCCAAGGCAAACTGCGAAACAATTAAGGAACATGAAGCCCCTCCCCAACGAAAAGGGTTCCTTCTTCAGGGCCCCGGCTGTAAACGCACACGATAAGAAATCTCTAAGGGCCCGTCTGTCGGCGATATCTCCGAGCTTCCCAAGGTGCACCGAGGTTCTGTGGGTCCCCAGGGCCGGGAGAAAACGTGTCGGTGGGGCATCTTCTGGCAGGCACTGATGCGCGCCCCCGCTCGCGTTTTTTTTTGTCGGCTCGGAGGGGGGAGGAGGGGGAGGAGGAGGAGGAGGAGGAGGAGGAGGAGGAGGAGGAGGAGGAGGAGGAGGAGGCGGAGGAGGAGGAGGCATCGGGGCAAAAACAGATCGGTGGGGCATTGATGCGCCGTCGGTATGGATCATCGTGGATGGGTTGCAGAGCGTCGGCTTGGTAGAGACGATAAGGAAAGACTCCGAGGCAGCGGGACCATTACAGCGTCGAGTACCGATCCTCGACGCCACAATATTACATTACAGCGTCGAGTGTCGAAACTGGCATGTTGCTCGTTGTCGGTCGTAGTTCGTCCTGCTGACAGAAATTATAACACTTGGCGCCGCAATGCACAAGGTGCACGTGAAACGGAACTGTTACAAAAACGTGTAGGTCTGCCTCCAAATCCAAAGATCACTTCCACACACGGTCTCGAGCATGGGCCCGAACTGTCTGGCCAAAAAAAACCGCCTTAGGCCAACACGTATTCCCTAGCTGGTGCTCGCGCTTGGATGCGGTTCTTGCTCATATATTCATCCATTCCGTCCATGCCCGCCTACACCCGTTGCCAGCAATGGCTCGCCAGTTTGCCCTGCTCGCCGCCAAGCGCAGGTTGCAGCCGCAGGCCCCCGCTGGCCCCAGAATGGCCCCACCTGTCCTGGGCATCGTCAGCGCGGGCTGCCACCCCTGGCTCCTGCCAGCCCCTGGCTGCGTGCGTGCGTGTGCTGAGGACGGCGAGCTGTGCCTGTGTGTGCGCGCTCGAGACATCAAGTTGTGTGTCGCAAGCACAAGTTGTCGCTCGGCCCCCCGCGTCGCAGCCTCCACTTAACCAGCCCCTGTCCAGTCTTACGAGCGCCACCCGCCCTGCCTGTCCCCACCGCTGGCTGCCTGACTGGCCCCACCAACCCACTCTACGTGTCCCTGCTTGTCGCCAGCGCTCGCTGGTTGATGTCCCTGGACCCCACTGGCCCCTGCCTGGCCCCACATGCCCAACATCACTTCTTGCCGCAAGCGCTGATTACCACCCCTAGCGCGAGATGGAAACGGGCAAGGGCAAGGCTGACCGGGGTGAGAAAGCCTCTGCGAAGCTGCTTCTCTGGGAAGTCGCAGCCTCGTGTTTCGCGCTGTGCGCGACGCGCCTGCGAAAATGTGCGCGAGCCTCTCTTGGGAAGAAAACGGAACCCTCCTCCGAATCCTCCGCCAACCGCTCCCCCCCCGTGGGCAGCAGGGAGGAGGGAGGTGCGCCCGGCGATAGTCCCCACGGTGTTTGATCGTCATTCGACTGTGTGCTTGACCTTCTCCCGATCATTCCCAAACCGGACTTGCCTGGAGGTTTGCTGTCTGCTTCACGGTTGCCTCACTGCAGATGCCCTGCGCTGATGTCCCTCCCGTATCCTTCCCGTGGGCCTCGCGAGCGTGCCGGATCGCATCTGGTGCACTTCGCGCTGCCAGCGTGAGGCTCACTCTAAGCGTGCCGCCTCGCGACTGGTGCACCTCGCGTCATCTGCCAACGTGGCTGAGCGGGAACGTTCGGGGGGAACCGGCTGGGGGGGCGGAAACATCGAGCTGGAATCGGCGGTACATCTCCGATGGATCGGCGATAGGCCCCCGATAATGAAACCGCACGCTCCTGGGCGGGGTGGGCCATCAAGCCCCTGAATGATTGTGGGTCGATGAAATCCCCCTTGCGCCTCCAACGTTGCCCCTGAGTTGCCGGCAAGATCACTCCGAGCGTGCTCGCTCCCTGCTGAACCACGTCGGGAGGCTAGCAGTGCTACCAACAAAACTCCACTGCCAAGAAAGGTCACCTCTGACGCGACAGCTCGCTTCTGGCGCACATCGCGCTGCCGTCGTGTGGCCAATGGGCTTGCCTACGGGGCTCTTCCTGTTCGGTCCGCCCCTCCCTCACTTTTCGTGTCCTCGGCCGGTGCCCCTCCTGCGGACCTCCCCTGGGCCTCGCGAGCGTGACACCTCGCTTCCAGTGCACTTCGCGCTGCCAGCGTTGCTTTAACGGGCGAAGAACGGTATAAGATAAACTTTTTCGCTGCCGGGGGCGCCTGTCCCAGGGCGGCTGGAAAGTTTGTACCGGGTATAAACTTTCCAGCCGCCCAGGGACAGGCGCCCCCAGCAGCGAAAAAGTTTATTTTATACCGTTCGTCGCTCGGTGATTGCTGGCGGGAGCCTCGCTCCAAGCGCACAGCCCTCCCAACCGGCGCACATCGCGCTGCCAACGTTGTCGGCAAAACGCTCCCTCCGAGAGTGCTGGCTCGCTTCAGGCACTCGCCGCGCTGCCGGCCTTGCCGCAGCTGTTCCCGGCAGAAAGCTCACCTCAGGCTCGCGTCGCGCTGCCAGCGTGAAGCAGTGAGCAGGAGGGGGGTGCTGATGATGATGATGATGATGATGATGATGATGATGATGATGATGAGGATGATGATGATGATGATGATGATGCGGAGGAGGAGGAGGAGGAGGAGGAGAAGGAGGAGGAGGAGGAGGAGGAGGAAGAGGGGGAAGACTGGAGTGAGCACACGATGTGTCAGTGATGCTACAACGCACCCTCCCGTCCCCAGTCCCGTCCCATAAGCTATAAGTCCTTGCAATCCTCCTGAGGGAGGGAGAGAGGGATGAGGCGGAGGAGGCGGAGGAGGCGGAGGAGGAGGAGGAGGAGGTGGAGAAGGGAGGAGTAGAGGAGGAGGAGGAGGAGGAGGAGAACGAACGAACGAACGACTCTACAGAAGGGTGCCAGATGATCCTGCCGTAACGCGGGGAACTCCGAAGCCAAAATAATATAAGCTCCAAACTGACTCGCTTCTAGAGGGCGCGGTGACTCAATATAGACTGGTCACGCGTGGCACTAGGTGCACTCTGCTCCCGCCCACCTTACCCCACCTCGGCTGGAGGGCCCCAAAGCTTTAAAGGCAGGGCTCGGCCGTGGGGACGTGGGACGAAAATCGGGACGAAACATCGAGTCACCAAACAGAAAACGCAGAGCAGGGAGGCCCAGCATTATCAGTCAGATCCTCGCCTCTCGAATTTCAGGAAAAGGCCAGCTACGACTCAGGCAGGCCCGAGCGGCCCCAAGGGGCCACTGAACCGTCAAAGCTAAAAAGTTCCGGCCCTGGGGGAGGGCCTTCTCGCTTTCTGAGACCTAGCAGACCCAAGACTCTGATGAGAGGGATCGGGGGAGTGGGAGGAGGAGGAGTCTGGAGGTCAGGGGAGGCGGCAGCGACGGC